TAATATGAAAAATAAAATGCATGCAGCCCCACAGCTAACAGCTGCATATAAACCTGTTTAGCTTTTTATTATTTTTGTTTGTTTATTCGCTCGCTTTGTTTGTTTATTTTGTTTGTTTTGTTTTTGTTTTTTATTTTATTTATATATTTTTGTTTGTTCTGCTATATTTGTTCGTCATTTATTTATTTTGTTAAATTTGTTTTTGTTGTTTGTTTTACTTAATTCATTATTTTTCGTTATTTGTTTGTAGCGACAACAAAGACAGCAGCAGCAGCAGCAGCAGCAAGAAAGGCAGCAGCAGAAGCAGCAGCAACCAGTGCAGCAGCAACAGCATCAAAGACAGCAGCAGCAACAACAACAGCAACAAAGACAGCAGCAGAAGCAGCAGCAACAAAGACAGCAGCAGCAGCAAGGAGTTCCGCAGCAACAGGAACAAAGACGGCAGCAACAGCAACGAAGACAGCAACAGCGGCAGCAACAAAGACAGCAGCAGCAGCACCAACAACAGGAACAGCAAGAAGGTGTTAATGTGGTGTATGGACGCTCACCGCAATTCTCGCTCTTTCTTCTGTTACTTTTTCATATTCATTTGCAAGAAGCTGCAGCTTCAATTTGTTTCTGTTGTGCTGCTCCAGCAGACGGCCGATGCTGCTGTTTGAAGATATTCTTTTAAGTAAACTGCAATGAAACGAAGTCTCGCTAATAAAAGCTAAAGAGCTGCACAGCAGCAATACACCCAATAAACTCAATATTGCTACATCCCACCAACTCATCATCAATTCCGGCTCGTTCGCTTTGCTGCTGCTGTTGCTGCTGCTGTCTTTGTTGTTGTTGCTGCTGTTGTCTTTGTTGCTGCTGCTGGATAGAGCTGCAAGAGGAAAGGGTCTTAGTTCATTCTGCGCTTTCCCTTTGCTAGCGGTGCTGTTTGAATCAGCAGCGCCTGCTGCTGCTGATGCAGCAGCAGGTGTTGCTGCTGATGCTCCTGCTGCATTCTTTTTGGGGTGTACAGCCACTACAAGAGGCAAATGAAGCCCATGTTCATTAATGAGAGTTGGATGAGACTCAGGGGAAGCGGCGTCTGCTGCTGCGTGTAGCTGAGGTGTACGTACACCGGAAGGAGGTTCCTGGGTCTTAGCCGTCGCTGCTGCTGCAAAAGAAAAGAGAAAGACAGCTAAATACCCTAAAAGGGTTTGACGATGCATCGGCGTAGAGTAAAAGACTCCGAGAAGAAGTGAATGTGATTAGATTGAACGAGATTAACTCCAGCTTGCGTGTGTCTGTACAGCCGGCGTTACTAAGTGTGTATGTAGCATTAGTTTATTCAGAAACCATATCCTTTTCCGCTTTTCATGGTTTAATTTCAATTAAAACAACAAATGCACTGAAAAAAAGAATATTTAAAGCCAATCTCATGGGGGGGGCCCTACCATATGAAGGCTGCAGCCATTGGGGCTTGTGCTAATTGAATAATTTGAACGAAGGACGCGCGGGAAAGAGGAGGTGAAAAAGAAGAATTAAATGGAGAAAATATGGTATTAAGTTGATTATTATTTGTTTTTAACGCAAATTAATCAAAATAATATTATTTTCCTGCAGCTTTCCCTAGCTTTCTCCCTCGAAGACTACAGAACCTCCAATGGCGTCAGCGCCTGTCTTCAGGAACGCCGCTTGTTTAGGGCGTCCTTCTTCTATTTCTTTTTCTTCTTTGACTCTGCGTAGGCATTATTTACTCATAAATAACCGTGAAAATGGAGTTAAAACAGGTTTTCCGTCAGCATTTACCCCTATACAGCCTCAGGCGGTGCAGCAGCCAGTGGATCAGCGGCGGTGGCTTTCAACAAAGACAGACGAAAAAACAATTGGTAAAACTCCTGCATTTGAAATATCTGGGAAAATAAAAGTAGAAAATCCAGTTGTTGAATTAGATGGAGATGAAATGACTCGCATATTATGGGCTTGGGTAAAAGAGAAGTTAATCTTACCCTACCTGGACGTACACCTGAAATATTTTGACCTCTCTTTGCCTAACAGAGACGCAACAGATGATAAAGTTACGCTCGATGCAGCAGAGGCAATCAAAAGATTTAATGTCGGCATCAAATGCGCCACCATCACTCCTGATGCAGCGCGAGTTAAGGAATTCAAATTAAAACAAATGTGGAAAAGCCCTAACGGAACGATCCGGTATACTCTTGCTGCTGCTGCTGCTGCTGCTGCTGCTGCTGTTGCTGCTGCTTCTGTTGCTGCTGCTGCTGTTGCTGTTGCTGCTGCTTCTGTTGCTGCTGTTGCTGTTGCTGCTGCTGCTGCTGGCTGTACAGAGTGGTTTGTTAGGCGTAAAACGATGACGACTCGTTTACTTTGAATGTTTCGTATTATTATTCTTTTCGTGTTGTGTGCATCTCTCTGTTTTTAATCTATATATATGTATATGTACACATATATATATACATATATATGTATATATTATATATATACGTATATATTATATATATACATATATATATATAGCGATATGATATACATACGTATGTGCACATGTATATTACATATAACTATACACACACATTATTTATATATATGCAAAATAGTATATAATAATAAATAAATAAATAAATAAACATAAATATGTAATGTTTGTTTGCTGTGAAACAGAAACATGCTGGACGGCACAGTGTTCAGGGCGCCGATTTTGATATCTACGATTCCGCGTTTGGTGCCGGGGTGGAGGAAGCCGATAGTAATTGGGCGTCATGCATTTGGAGATCAGTATAAAAGTAAATCTTTATTATGCTCGGGTCCAGGCAGCTTTGAAATGGTCTTCAAGCCTAAAGACGGAGGCAAAGAAATACGAGAAACTGTCTATAACTTCCAAGGACCAGGGCTTATGCTTGCAATGTATAATACTGTCGCAAGCATAACTGGATTTGCTCGCAGCGCATTCTCCTACGCACTCTCACAAGTCAGATACATTTACACCCTAAATACCTCCATATACACCCCAAATACCTCCGTATACACCCCAAATATCACCCTATATACCTTAAAAGTTTAAATGTACACTCAAAATACCTCCATATACACCCCAAATACCTCCATATACACCTCAAATAGCTAAATGTACACCCCAAATACATCCCTATACACCGCAGATAGGTGCATGTACACCCCAAGTAGGTGCATATGTACACCGTGATTGATTTGATTTCTGTTTTGTTTGTTTATTGAGGAGATGCCTGCCTGTGTATAGTTGTAGTAGAGGGTGCGTAGTAGGTGCAAGAAACCCATATTTGTTTTGCTTGATTTATGTTTTGTTTGTTTGTTTGTTCAGAAGATGCCGTTGTATCTGAGCACGAAAAATACAATATTGAAGGAGTACGACGGAGTGTTTAAAGATATTTTTGATGAAATGTATGAAAAAGAATTTCGGGAGAAGTTCCTAAAAAATAATATTTTCTATGAACACCGCTTAATTGATGACATGGTCGCTCAGGCTCTCAAATCTGAAGGCGGCTTCGTCTGGGCCTGCAAAAACTATGATGGAGATGTACAGTCCGATATCGTAGCGCAGGTAAACTCTAATGCTGTTGCTGCTGCTGATGCTGCTGATGCTGCTGATGCTGATGCTGCTGCTGATGCTGCTGCTGATGGAGATGGTGGTGCTGCTGTTGGTGTTGCTGTTGGTGGTGCTGCTGTTGCTGCTGGTGTTGCTGCTGCTGCTGCTGCTGTTGCTGCTGATGGTGGTGGTGGTGGTGGTGCTGCTGCTGCTGCTGCTGATGCTGCTGCTGCTTGCTGCTGCTTTTGGTGGTGGTGATGCTGCTGCTGGTGATGCTGCTGCTGCTGGTGATGCTGCTGCTGCTGTTGATGGTGGTGTTGGTGGTGCTGCTGCGCTGCTGCTGGTGTTGGTGTTGGTGGTGCTGCTGTTGCTCCTGCTGCTGCTGCTAGCTGCTGCTGCTGCTGCTGCTGTTGCTGCTTGTGTTGCTGCTGTTGGTGATAACCGGAGGAATTGCAAGAAAAGAAAAGGCGAAGAAAGACAGACGAATTTTTAAATGGAAATAATAAAAAAACGTCTGAAAATAAACAAAATCTTTTATTTATTTATTTTGTTTATTTTGTATATTTTGTATATTTTGTGTGTATAATCCTTTATTTAATTTTATTTTGTTTATTAATTTAATTTAATTTAATTAATTTAATAAATAAATAGATAAATAAATAATAATAATAATAGTATAATATGTTTGTTTATATACAGGGCTACGGGTCGTTAGGTTTAATGTCTTCGGTTTTAGTTTGCCCTGACGGACGCACTGAAGTAAGCGAAGCTGCTCACGGCACGGTGACTCGGCATTATAGAGAGCATCAGAGAGGCGTGAAGACATCTACTAACCCGATTGCTTCAATCTTTGCTTGGAGTAGAGGGCTTGCTCATAGGTTTGTTTTATTATTATTTATTTTCTTTGTTTTGTTATTCAGTTCTGTGCTTAATGATAGGCTATTTTATTATGTATTGTTTATTATGCCTTTTGTTTATTTATCTATTTATCTCTGTACTTATTTTATTTTAGTTTATCTTTTTGCTTCAATCTTTGCTTGGAGTAGAGGGCTTGCTCATCCATCTGTTTATATTTATTATATATTGTATATCATGTAGTATATATTATATATTTGTATATTTGTGTATATATATGTATATACATATATACATTATATATATTATATATATTATATGTTTATTTATAGTTAATCCATATGTATATATATTTATACATATTTATAAATAGATATTCATATATATATAGATTTATATACATGTATAAATAGACAATATATATATATATATATATGTGTTTATGTATTTATATATTACGTTTAAAATATAAATAAATAAAGATATAAATATATATAAATATATATATATTTATATTTATATATTAGTATATATTTATATATTGAGTGCAGGGCAAAGTTAGACGGCAACAGTCGGCTGGAGCAGTTTTGTTTAGCGTTAGAACGAGCGGCGATTTCAACGGTTGAAGACGGCCTGATGTCTAAAGACTTAGCAATTTGTATTAAAGGGATTGATAATGTTTCTGTACGATTATATATATATATATTATATTATATAGGTTATTTATATTATTTATATTATATGTATGTTTGTATAGACGGCCTGATGTCTAAAGACTTAGCAATTTGCATTAAAGGGATTGATAATGTTTCTCTCTCTCTCTCTCTCTCTCTCTCTATATATATATATATATATATTATATTATATATATTACATATGTATATATATATATATATATGTGTGTGTGTGTATATATATATTAATTGTATAGATAATATTAATTAAATATGTATGTAAAATATATGCATATATTTGCATTAAATTAATAGATAATGTTTCTGTAAGATTTTACTCTGTATGTTGTTAATATTAAATATATACAAATAAACAAAATAATTAATTAATTAATCTATTTATTTATTTATTTATTTATTTATTTATTTGTTTGTTTGTTTGTTTGTTTATTTACAGCCGGCAGACTATTTGATGACCGAGGAGTTTATTGACGCTGTTGCAGACACATTAAAAAGAAATTTAATAATTCATCAGACGCCGCTGCATGTAAACGCAAACAAAAAAACAAAATTAACAAACCCTAATTGGGAATACTACGCCCCGTCAGAACATAACTCAGCAGTAGTATGCAATAATGTTTGCTGCTGCTGCTGCTGCTGCTGCTGCTGCTTGTGCTGCTGCTGCTGTTTTGTGCTGCTGTTGCTGTTGTTGCTGCTGCTGCTGCTGTTGTTGTTGTTTGCTGCTGCTGCTGCTACTGTCTTCTGGTTGAGTCTGCTGCTGCGTGTTTGCTGTGATGCTTCTGTCTTTAATTGCTGCACCGGACTATAGACAGAGTTGTGTGTTATTTCGTGGTGTATGCAAATATATATATATATATGCATATATATAATATATATGTATATATATGTATATATATGTATATATATATATATGCATATATATATTAATATCTAAGTGCAGTGGCGTTGCATGCTTGCAGCTTTATTAAATATATATATGTATATTATTTATTTATATATACATTTATATATATATATATATTTAAATTTAACTTTGCTGCTACCAGTTGAGGGTTTTGTGTGTTGCGGTGTACATACACCTGCGCAGGACGACCACGACGGACGCACAAAATAAATTCAAGACAACAAAAGAGCAGCAGCAGCAAATACTCTTTGCTGCTGCTGCTGCTGCTGCTGCTGCTGCTGCAGTTTGCAGCAG